TTTAAATTTTGCATATAGTTGAATGTACCTCATTTTCCCTTTCAACAAAAAAATGCGATCACACATTTTCAGGGTTAGTCCCAACTCCCAACTGGTTGCATCAGAAGAACAAACTAATGGGAAAATCATTGCATGTTGGAGGGAAAATCTGTTAGAGTTTAAAAACACATGGAAACTCTAATATGTGAACAGTTCCAGTGCATCCCTGTAGCCACTCTAATAACAACAAAGCCATATTGGCAGCCAGTGGTCATGCGGTTGGACAACACAGATACTTGTCATTGGTCCATTGTTGTGTGATCTAACTTGGCAGTTCACAGCTTCACCATCAAGCCCCCATCTCTCAGCACCAGCCGTCAGCCCGGCCATTGAATCACAGTGCTGAATATGCAAATGGATGCCATTAAAGCTCTCTTTCTTTAATTAGTCTTTAGATTTCATGACTGAGTGCTTCCAATTATGGATCAATGTCTCTCGTTCCTGCACACGGACCCCTGGGTGTGCAAAAGATTTTTTTTTTTCTACTGCATTACTAAATACTTAATAATTTCTGCTCTGCCAAGACGACCACTCACAGAGCACTCCCTATGCTGATCAATGAGCAGGCTGCTGCTGCACTGATATGTACTCCTAAGATGATTATTTCATAAACAAGTGATTTATGGCCAGGCATGTCTGTGTTTGGGTCCGCTGATGTGTTTAAAGTGGATTTAGTGTCTGGAAATGGGCTGATGTGTGTGTAATTGCGTTGGCAGTAATTTAGCGGTGGGCTCATTAAAGTGGTGCATAAGAGGGGGTAAATTCTGCCTAATACCTAAATGCACTCGTGACTGGGAGAGGGCAAGCGAGAGACGTGCTGATGGGTGCAGTTTCAGGCTGTAAAATGCTACTTGTGTGTTTTGGAAAAGGCCATTTGGGTGCATGGGTTCTGCTCTCAGTACTCATGATAGCTAGGAAGGGGCTTAATGAATGCAGGACTGTTGACTTACTAGCTCCTGACTGACAACTGGTGCTATACTACTATACTTGTCATGCATGTGTGAAAGAGGAGTGGGATTTTAAAAGGATCTACCACAAGTGAAAAACATTCTACTGGGTTTGCTAATTTGTAATTTTTTTTTAATGTTTACTAGTGTACAGTGATGATTGTTGTATTTTGTTGTAGTTGTTGTTCTTTTCTTACAAAATTGCCAGAGTAAACACTTCATATTTCAAGGTTAAATTGAAATGTAATCAGAAAACTAATCACAGTTTTTATATGAACTTGAATATGAACTAGCTACTTTAATTTTAAAACTTATTTCAACAGCATCACAATTTTTCATTTCTATGAGAAGGATATTCAAAGGCAGGCTTTTGTTCAGGATAATCAAAAGAGGTTAGAAAACTACAAGGCCAGTCTCAAGCCTGGATAAATGAAAGTTGTGCAGGTACAAGAGATTCCTCTAAAGTGCTATATAAGCTATAAATAAATGCATGATTAAAAACACATGTCTGCAACTGTGCTTCAGTGTAATTTCATTGCCTGTGGTTATGTGAGGTTAAATGCTTTGTCACAATGAGTCCAACATCTGGAGCTGCCTGAGTTTAATACTGACCCAATTACACAACATAATACTGGTGCTACATGGGCCACTGAGCACTGATCCTGCCTATGACCTCTCCTCTTAGCACTCTCTTCAGGCCAAAGGTTAAACTTCGAGATTGCACTGAAGATATTTATAGACATACATATTTCGATTTAACATAATAATATTTAAAAACTTAAAAATTTGCTAATTAATTAAGTAACATACTTTTCTACCAACTGCAAATTATTCAGCATGTAAAAATAACTAACACTGTAGTATAGACTTGTGCAATGCATGTGATTCCTATATCCGTTTAACAGTTTATTTTCTCAGTCCTCAGTCTATCTCAAATATTTATTCTCCTCAATGTGTTTACAGTGGGATCTTTGAGGATGACATATATGACGAAACAGTGTAGGCTGTATTCTCAGTACGTATAGTGAATACCTGATAACCACATAATGTCACAGAAAGAACACAAAAGACCCTTGGGTGTTCAATTGTCTATTTATTTGCACGCTGCTCTCTTTGCCTCTGGGCTCAGTGTATGCTGCCCCCTGCTGTCCGTGGGCCACTCATGATTATGACAGCACTGTTATGGAGTACTATGTGTAGTGTTTGATATCCATTGAAGAGCTCTGAATGGACTGTGACTGTCATCTAGTCGTTTATGACAGCTTGTGAATGAGACAAATATGGAGTGAAGAGGAAGTGATGTCACACATTTAAAGGGTGCAGGGTCAGCGGTGATGATATCCACAGTCATTAGGGATCCATTAGAACATGAAGTCTACTCCAGCTGATGGTCTCTGTAATGACGCCAGGCTGCACAAAAGCGTTTAGTTTTGATTAGCCGCTTGTTGGCACGGTGCATTTCATTAACTCTAAGATGAGATTATGTTGTCTGGGAATAGAGATGCTACACTCTGGAGGGGAAATAAGAACACGCTAAACTAACAGTGGTTCCCTCAAGGCTTTTTTTGTAAAGAAATACATAAGAGGGGATACTACACAGCTGCTGTCCTCTATACAACCTCTGACCTTTAGATTAAAACACTTCACTAATCCTCCCATAGACTTATAAGTGGACTCAACAGTTTTTTCAGCCTAAAATCAGTGTTGTGATTTTCAACCAACTCAGCAGGCCTGTATTGAATATTGTATGTATTGTAATTCATGCATGGTTGGGTAATCTTTAATCTTTATTTTCTTGCAGTCAAGACACTCTTGCCTCCCAGTTTCCACAATTGTGCTGTACTTACTTTACTCATCACAATATTTGTTTTTTTGTTTGTTTTTTTCATAATGAACTGTAGCAGAATTTTAGCAGGTAATTGTTTTACTTGGATGTATGCATATATGTCATTATGATGCTCTTTAGTGCAGGAATTAGTTTCAGATTCAGAAACGTCAAAAAAAACTGAGGCACTCAAAAAGGTCATATTATGAAAAGCCTTTACTTTAATAATATGACCTTTTTGAGTGCCTCAGTTTTTTGACTTTTCTGAAAGTGAACTGTTGCTATTCATAGGTGGGGCTGTCAGCATGGTACCATAAAGTTGCAGGCAGAAATCAGTGCTGTGATTTTCAACAGGAAGTCAGCAGATATTTTCTTTTATTAAGTCTTTTCGATCAATATTGCAATTTAAAAATATAGCAATCCATGTATGTCATAGATTATAATTATATAGCAGACAAAGGCATAATATGTCTTCTTTAACAGTGCAATTATTATTATCACAAGATTCAAAGTAATACTGTGTTTCAATAGCCAATACTCAATAATAAAGAGCCCTGATCATTCATCACAGCCCATTGTCAGACTTTAAATCGTACTTTCTGTAAAGTACCTTTCTGTAAAGTAAGAAAGAAGCCTCCAAAATAGATTATCCTTTGTTGGCTTTTGTGTTGTTTTTTGTGTATCTTCTTCTCAGCCCTGTTTCTGGTAAAATCAAACTTTGTCTGTTTGGTGTGTCCACATTTCACTAATGTATTTAGCATACTTACCATAACAATGACTTGGCCAGTCACAGTTCTCCATTTGCCATGTAGTATATTCCATTGAGCTATGCCAGGAGCTCCCAGCACAATTGTAAGAGTGGGAGTTTGAATATTTTAACTGATGAATGCTATACAACCCTATTGGAAATGTGATCCTCTTAAAGGGTTTTGTTACACACACACACAGCAGCCCCTGGGTGTCATTTTGATTGTATAATTAGTAGTACTCAGCCTTATTCACTGTGCAAGAGGTAAAGAATAGATGATTAAATCAAGGCAAATCAGATGCTTATTAAACGGTGGCGTTTCATTCAGCACATGCAGATGACTTGATGTTTTTCATGTGATGAGGAACATACAGTAAATTAAAACACATCATATCCGCAGGGCATTTCCTGTCTGTGAAAAACAAAACACTCATGTGCAGCTCTGCCCCTTTTAAGTGTTTGTCTTCCAGGTGAAAAGCTTTGAAGTACGTGCACCATATTAAAAGGACAGGAGCATTCAGCTATATTTGGTGGTTGATCATTGTCACAGGAGCTGAGATCAAAACCCCACACGGAGCCCTTAAGATGTGCCCAACAAAGCTGAAGGATGGCGCGATCAAACACCCACGTATCCCTGTGAAAGATCAACATGTACAGATTCGTATGTGATGTTATTGATTTAGATGTGAATAGTTAATGCGCATGCTTTTTCATCAGCCAGAAGACACGGTGAGGTGAATCTGACTATGTACGTATTTGAATAATATAAACAGACTTCACATTTGGGTTTACTTTCTTGGAATATAGATTGAATTGAATAATTACAATAATCGTCTAACGGCTTTATCTTATAAGGACAAATGTATCCAGGTGAAGATGAAGGAGGAAATAGAATCCAATTTAGTTATGAAAGTATAACTAGATTCTATTTCTGTAGCACCTGATATTGAAAAAGTCTGCTTGGAAATTGTATTTAAAACCAGAGAGGAGCAATCTGTATCAAATTATTGGTAATAATTGTTAATGTTGCTCTGTAGATTAGACACAAATAAAAATGGAACAAACTGATCTAGGATATTAAGTGATTTTTATAATTCTTTCAAATATTATATCTCAATATGTTTTTGCACATTTCAGTTGGATTTTTAAGACCAAAATAGCTTCTGATTATTTCTGATTATCATTATCAGGATACTCCACAAAATAAAGAAAGAAAAAATAAAGAAATAGAGACATGAATATTGCAGATCCTTATTAGTGCATCATTACAGTAATCTTGGACTGAAAGTTAACCCAGTCATTGGTTCTCCAAATACATGTATCTCTGAATGTTCAGAGGAAAGAGGACCCACCATAACAATAACAGGCAGAATCCAAATGTTTATTGCTCTATTTGTAGATGGATTATTGAAGCAAAGCAAAATTCTCTGTCTGATTTAAGTGCAGAAGCTGTTTTAAAGCATGTTATAAAGGCATTTCTCTGGTGAGCTATGAAGCGATGTCAGCTGACGCACCATAAATCAAAGCCTATGGTTTATTATCTGTGAGGAAACGATAGCACCGTGAGCGATGCCGGCCTCTTCCTGATCCTATCTCCAAACTTTCTGTGAATCTAGTGCACAAACACATTGTCCAACTACCTTCCACTATGTACACTGTGGCTTACATTTTCCACCCACGTGAATTTGCACAGACGACACAATCAGACGTAGGTGCACTTTAAAGTTTAATCAAATGTAAACCTGGCGTCTTCTATTGACAAAAGAATGTGGAGCAGAGCTGGCATAGGCACAGAAAGCAGGTGCTGAGAACAAATACTTTTAGGGCTTACGCGATCGGCACAACCAGCGTTCAACAACAACAACAAGCATAGTAGAGATATGTGGCCAAACATCTTTGTCAGTCTTTTGAGTGGCCAAGCCTCCTCTGCAAATTCTGATCTCATCAGATCTCAGAAGATAAGCAGGGCCAGGCCTGGTTAGTACTTGGATGGGAGACTGCCAGGAATATCTGGTGCCATAGGGGACCAGTGACTGTTGTTGTCTCCTTAGGCAAGGCACTTCACTCACTTGCCTAGTATGAATGTGGTGTGTGCATGAGTGTTGGTGGTGATCAGAGGGGCTGATGGGGCAGACTGGCAGCCTTGCTTCTGTCTGTATGGAGTGAATGAAGAATGCATGCACTGTAAAGTGATTTCTGCAAGCAGAAGAAGAAGAAGCGAGTATCTTGAAAAGCTCTCTACAAGACTAATGCATTATTATTGGAGATAATTTTTGGAAATGAATCCTTTTACTAATTGAATTATCTGTAATTGGTGTCATTAGTTTGCAAAAGGGCTGTGAATGAAATTGTTTATTAAATTTGAACCAGTTGCTGTGGGACATGTTTAAGGCATATACATACTGACAAAATGTTTTTTTTTTATAAAAATATTATTTACTTCCTGTGTCTTTTTTAAGTAATTCCTGGTCAATTTGTATAAAATCACTTTTCCTAGCACAAGGCATGTTGTGATGTATGTCCATTGATACAATAATTTCTAAATTAGATGATGATGATCATTTATAATCAATAAGCCACAGTCACTCCAGTTGTTTCTGCCCTGCCAATTAGTACAGTTTGTGTTTCTCTGTAGTCTTAGTACCTTTCTCTTCTGTAACATAAACAGATAAACAAAAAGAAGCTCTATACCATATTGCCCTGTTTTGTTCCTAAGACAAGCCTGATAAGTTCCTCTAAGTTCTGGGTTCAGTAAAACTCTGGACTGACAGACCTGTTTATGTGCTGCCTCCTATACTGTCATTAAACACATCCTCCCATGTGCTCTGCTTCTCCTGCATCCCTGTAATAACCTTTATAATAGATATTAGCTTAACAAAAAGTCTCCATGGAAACTGTCCCCGTGGCTTGTGCACATCTTTCTCTTTCTCTTCTGCTTTTCAAATCAACGCTTTATGGCTTTCAGTGACGTTTTAGCCTTTGAATATATTTGTGAGTAATGCGCTGAGTGATTTTCTTTGATTGCAGAGCAGATAATCAGGGCCCTGCAAAATGTCACTTTCTGAAGAGGTTGTTCAGCCTGTAGAGATTGGCTTCCTGCTGTGGCCATAGGTTCCCTCACAAAAGCCTTGACCCTTTGAACATAACACCCATGAATGTATGTAGTTTAGCTTGATTCTCTATTCAGACATCAGTCCTACAAATGGCTTCACTCTGTCTCTGACTCTGACTCTGTCCTCTTTGTGATCAGTGTGTAGCCTGGATCATCTGAGGACAAGGATACTTTGACCTTTCTTATCTTGTTCTTCAAATATTGTGGTATTTTACTTTTTACAGATATTTATTATTATCACAATCAGTGATCATATTGATGCTCTATGATAAAACATTTGATCTTTTTTTTTATTTTTATTTTTTTAAATGAATTCACTCTCTGAATGCCTTTTGATACAGTATTTGTTCTGTAGTGGACTCGAGATTCCTTTAGTCTTTTCTGGTCTCCTCTCTGGTCTCCTCTGCTTTCGGGGCTGGAGTCGGCCACGTTACTTCCATGAACAGAACGGTGACAAGTTTGGTTTGTTTCATGAACATTTCCAGGATGTTTCTGGTGTAGTCCTTCTTGTCCTTCAGTCCACACTATGGGTCACTCCTCATTTATTTATCTGTCACCAATGTTTGGAATGAGCTGCATAAGGCACTACATACTTGGATACCTTTATCTGCTTTTAAGTCTACCTTAAGAGGTGGAGTTTCTCTTAAGGCTATAATACTGTTGTATATTACAAATAGTATAATGTGTGTAAGATTCGATGTTTATTTGTATGTTTATTATGCACTGTATTCACCATTCTGCTCTTTGTGACCAGTAAATCAGATTTGGTTCACAATCTGCTACCTGGATATGTAAAGGTTAATAAAATATATCACCTCAGAAATGGTGTGTACAGCTTGCTCTTTTCCAGACAGGTGCAGTCAGTTTTGGCATTCCATTGCCCTGAACATAACTGACTGTGTGCTGGCCTCCTCACCAGTATAGGGAGAATATACCTCTCTCATATTATAGGACGTGCAGCTGCAGAAGCTTTGATCTTAGAAGTAATGCTTGGCCTCTAGGACACAGAGGAGTCTATTGTCCTGACCATGTAAAAAATAAAAATATAAAACTTAGTCAGAACAAACTTCACTAAAACCTCTTGTATTCCTAAAACAACAATAAATAGTGTTTTGGCTTGTTTTTAGTAATATTTTGTCTTGCAGTGGTTTGAAATGGTTTAAAGCAATTTGTGGAGACAGTGAGGCGTCTCCACCAAACACAAATCACTGTTATCGACCCATGCCTTTTCTAATATACGTTACTATTAAATCAAAGCCTGACTATTACATTTTGAGTTGTCCTGAGATACACAAACCAGCAAACATATTAAGAATGTTTTCCACTTTATTTATCCACTCTATAGCCACTTGTTCCCTAAACCTACATGCTAAGGTCTGGTGAGCATTTGCCCAACTGCTTTAGCAAGAAGTTGTCAGTGTAACAAGAACACTGAGCACATTAAACACACACAAGTGGCTGCTAGTCGTAAAATTCTCCTCCTGCTTTGAGTGATGGCTGTGTTAGCTAGTCTTGCAGTGTGAATGATAACACCCACTACATTTGTATCTGAGTGAGTAGGCACACATCCACAGTGGCATATAGTTTTGTATGTGTGTGTATGTGTATATATATATATGCATGTATGTATGTATGCATGTATGTATGCATGCATGTATGCATGCATGTATGTATGCATGTATGTATGCATGTATGTATGTATGCATGTATGTATGTATGCATGTATGTATATATGTGTTGGCTGGTTTATGAGAGACTGACAGTGTTTGTCCAGGCTGCACATTTGTGACTGGTTCCAGGTGAATGAGCAGAGGAACAACAGACTCTTGGGGAACTGTTTTCAAGCACCACTGAGCTCACAAATATATTTTTTTATCACTACAACTTGAGTTTGTTTGTGGTCTAAGAAAACAATTTCAAGTAAACAAGTTCTGAATGAACAATGTCAACTGGTACAGGACAAAAGTGGTCAAAACAATATCTACAATAATAGGATCGAACTGCAGAAAGACTAAAGAAAAAGGAAACAAATTTATAATCTACCAAGACAACTTATCAATGACAACATTTGAACTGAGACTAAATCATTATTAATTATTTCCATATTATTATTAAAATAGTTTATGTTGTCATTTGTGGACAATGTTGGGAAGTATCTGCATACCAGATTTATTTATTAATTAATTTATTGATTTATTTTATTTTATTTTAGATGTGCCATCTCATTTTTAGGGGGTGCAAAAAACACAAAACTATAGTAATGCACAATACAATACAGTACAATACAATACAATAGACAGAATACAAAACGTACACAGATAGACAGACAGACTTGCTCCTTCATGCCCTCCTCGCAACTCCTGCATCAGTACCTGATTTATAAAAAATACACACATTATATAACAATGATATAAACAAATAAAAAATAATAATAATAGAACAAACTGACAAACTGAAAACATAAATGAGGAGTTTTGAGATATGAAAACAAAGACGATTTAAATGACTTGAAAGATGTTAAAGTTCTTAAGGGTATGGGCGATCTATTCCAATCTGAAGGGGCCTTATAATGACATGATCTGTATCCAGCTGTATTCTAAATACTAATTTTGAGTAACTGTATTCTGGTACAGTTATGTTTTCATCGGATAGTACTGAGAATACAGTTACTTTCCTAAAATCAAAGGGAAACACGGTGATACTTGATCCTGCCATTTTTGCTTTAAACTGCAGGTTTAAATTGAATTCAATATGGCAGACCAAATTCTGTAGCTCAATAGTAAATATTTAAAACACGTACAGCTCTTGCAAAGCATGTGCATACAAATGTTTATTTTTTTTAGACTTAAATAAATAAATTTAAATATTGAACAACAAATGGTGCAACAAAAATAAAGCTGTTTATATTTCTATGTTGTGTGTTTTTCACTATAACATGATGCAACTCGGGGTAAAAGTATTCCAAGTATTCAGAATACAGTACTCTGATTTCTGGATTTGGGTATTCAGTATTTTGTAACTTAATACATTTTTATTTATATATTATATTAAGTATTAAGTATTTATATATTATTTATATATTATTTTAAGTATTCTCCCATTCACTATTTGTAGACAGTGTAGTCGATATGCCACCCAAAACATGCACAGATAGCTTATGGGTACTCCTGACCAATCCTAGCTCAAGGTCAGCCAACGGGTCTTTCCTTCAGATAGGTTGCCCTAGCGACATTGAAGGATGGGTCAAATGCATAGGATAAAAGTGTACCTTAGGCAACACCATATGGTAGAACTGAAAACTCTCCCATTTAGTGTATGCATTATCATCTTCCAATCCATTTCCCCTCAGGTTCACTGTTAGCTGTTCCACTGAGGTCTGTACAGCCCCTCTGTAGCTTGTTCAATGCTTTACTTTATATCTTACATCTTAACATATCCTAGGAGGGAAAAAAAAAAAAGTTCAAATCTTTTTTTCCCAGCCACAGGGTCCAGAGTATTCACTTGTTCTGATGTTATTGTAATACCACAGGGGTAGCCAGGAATACAAGAGCTGTAAGTCGACAAAAGGGAAAAAAGAGAGAGAAGACCTGAAAATGTCAGTGGAGCGCGGGTCTTTTCTTCCTCAAAGGTTCGTCCTCTGTGTCCGTGTCCCATATTCTCCACAGGGCAGAGCAGTGGACACACCATCCTATCACATCGCATCCAACTATAGCTGTCACGCAGGCACCACCACTTTGATAACAGCACTAGAGAAGTTCTTTTTCAATTACACCATGTTCTCTTGAGAAATCGGAGGAGGAGACAAATCCTCATATCACTTTGTCATCTGCCTTAATGTTTATTCCTTGTGACATTTAAATCTATCTGTACCTAACCTGCACACAGGGTAAATTCAATAGACCACTACTAAGCCATCAGGAGAACTGAATGGCCTATTGCACTGAACTCTGTTTACATTTATCATTTTCAAAGGTAAAAAAACATTTTTTGAAAAATATAAATCAGAGGAACTGCAGCACTTGACAACTTTGACTTTTCTTTATATTATGCATAATTTTGTAAATAACAGGACATTTTTACTGTCTGCTGCTGGGTTTTTGTGGTTGATGCTGGTTGCATAAAAAACACAGGCAACATCATCACATTTTAATTGAGAAATACATTTGACTATAAATGCTGGTGGTGAGCAGCCTCCATCTACTGGTAATCCTGGGTTGCATCTTGTCAAGTCTCCTCTCTCCTCTTAGCTTTCTCACCTCAGAGGCCAGAGCCTGCTGCCTCCCACTCACTGGTCTATAATCTGCTGACCCCCCTGTTGCCTGTGGTGCCCCCCACTTGTGGGGCTGACCTCTGATCTAGTCAAATGGCAGCTAGTTTACAGATAATTACAAGGTCGGGGCCAGTTGTGTGGCACACATCCACATGTCTTTGTTACTAATTCAATTAGAGGCTGAGCTGCAGCGATGGAGAACAGTGTCCCCAGTGAGCCTCGTGATTAGACTGAAGAGACGGAGACGAGCCCATGCTGCTTTCACAATCCCGGCACTCTGTGGACACTGAAGTAGGAGATTATGATCAGTATGATCCAAATACAAATTACACATGGGTTCAGATCCCTATTTAGATACAGGTCAGCAAACCACTTTGAAAATATGAACCAACTATGTAGCATCACTAAGGGCAAATTGTTTTACTAGATTACTTCATCCCTGTGTCACTAGAAATGCAGTGGCTACATCCTTCATTGGTGGAATGCCTCTGTAGCCACAGTTGCCCTGGGGTAGACTGACGGAAAGAAAACTGCCAGTCTGCGACCACCACCAATCCACTACTCTTCAGTAATAAAATCTTTGAGTGAAATAAACCTAAACTATGAGTTAAAACCAAAGACTGTGGTTTGCATCAAGGACTTTTAAAGTGCATAATATGCTCACAAGCACATTTGTATCTGTAATGAGCACATCTCTCAACCCTCTCCCCATCATTGTTTCAACTTTGTGTAAATATAGCTACGGATGTATGGGAAAGTGCCTCTTCTCTCCTCTGCAATCATCTGTTGTCAAATCCAATATGATTGGAATAGAAACAACAAATGCATGTTATTCTGTTGTTTGTCTTCCAGACATCATCCAGCCCACTGTCACTGTTTCCACCTATTTATATCAATGCTGCTTACAACTCTCAACCCTGAATAAATTTAGCAATATGAAAAAGCTATTTACATCAAACTTCTGTACTGTATTTTCAACTTGTGTAATAATAACAAGGTTTATAGCTTAACATAAGACTTATCTGTTGAGGTAAAGCTGAAAATAAAATAATATGAAATGCATAGCACAACAGCAATAATATCTGAATATCTGAATCTGAACTTTAAATATATTGTTTTTATTAACGTATTCTAGATCAATCTACCCAACCTTTTTAGTGGTTTCAAAATCTATTATTTCATTGTATTTGTTTTTATACTGCTGCTTCCTTTTCAACATATTTTTCCACATAGTGCCACTTAAACTGTAAAAACCATAAAATATATTTACCACAGGTATTATCCCACTAAACTAAGTAATAATAGAAAAACATGAAAACCTGTCACATAAGTATTTACATGCGCCTCTGTTGAATATAGAAAAGTGGGTGATTGTTCTCAACTGTGGCCCAGATCTTTCAAAATGAACCAGAATTAAATATCAGCCGTAATGTGGAATTGGTGTCAGACGTGTTGTATTATTTACATGTGCTGCTGTTTTCGCCTTTATTCATAATTGAGCATGTTACAGTGGAATTAGTTTGTTGTCTTTCCAAGATGTGCCGTGTGGCGTGTACTGTACTCCATTATCTTGTTTGCCTTCAGCTTTTTGTTTTTGTTAGCTTTTGAAGCGTGTTTAATTCATTTGCTTGCATTTTTTAATGTAGAACATTGAGAAAAAGAGTTTTAACTGTAACATTTTTCTCACAAAAACAACAAGCTGCATTTGTGTACAACAGAGAGTTATGCATGAGATTTTCTGGCTCCAAGTCTAGCCATTTGACACACAAATATTTCAGACTGACCTTTGCTGCCTGTGGGTTATATTTAAAAAAACATGAGTGCCCAGGACTTAAGGCACCGAGGAAAATTGTATTATCAAAGAAATGCACTAGTCTGGCTTGATATAGGCCAGAGTGGAACAGAAGATATGAAGGTTTAGTTTTTGATGTACATGTAATGCATAAAACTACATAAAACATTCCTGTAACTCACATGGTACAAATATAACTTCTCATTTAAATTTTTCATACTTTAATATTTGTGTAATATACTGTAATTGTCCATTTTGCATATTTGAGGAGGAAAGAAGGAAAGACTGAGATTCTTAGCGGTGATCTGTAAAGAAAAATAACTCTAATCGTATTGAATGTTAATTCCTGAACATAAATTAAACAGACTTTTGATCAGTGCCATTGAACACAAAACATATACAGTAACAGACTTCCCTAAAATGACATGTTTTTACCATATGGAGACCTCTTAAAAGCACCCGGTCACTGACTATATGAAATGACTGAATCTCTATTTAAATTCATTCAGTTACCTTGTCCTATCTGGATCTATTAAAAAAATGTTTTTTCAATAACCAAATGGTTATATTTCCTGACACTTGTATAACATGGTTGTAAAACAAAGTTGTGTGTTTGTCAATGATGAGACTTCCAGTATTTTCACTTCTCACAGAAGTTACCCAGTACTGTAAGCTGAGGTGAAGTACTGCTGAACTTGAGAGATTTCTGAAGGTATTATTTGAAGAGCATCACCTGTCCGAGCTCAGACCAGACAAAACCTGATCATACACAGTTCAAACACAAAGGAACTTGACATTTTGAGGAAGCTCTAGTTGATAAAATGTCATAGATTTCATCCATAGACACATTCTTTTGCCTTTTAAAGTCTGGAGTGATTAAATCTGACACTGAATCCAGAGTATCTATACACTCAGGTACATTACAGGCTTCACGAAAGTACCTACAGTATACCCAGCCCATACAAAATAAGCTTAGATGCATTTGTCTCCTCAGAACTGGGATTAAGCTCTTCAGAGATATGAGAAGACATGCATCACCTATAATACTGGTTGAAAACTCTACCTTTCATGAAACAATTAAATTGTAGTGAATTCAGACTGGCAACAACTTACAAGAGTTTTGGAGACATCAACGTCATCAGTTATCACAATTTGGCAACTGTCAAACTCTGTCCCTGTCTGTGAAATGGGCATTAAATACTAGCCTCATTTTAGTGTCACAGTACTAAAATTTCAAACTCAGTTCTAAGGAATAGGCCCAATACTCAATACCACACAATGATCATTTAAGAAAAAAAAATTAAGACATGTTCTTGTTTTTAGTCATGTTCAACAGAAAATAATAGTACTTTTTTTTTAAATTTTACATACTTTTACCAGAACTCAAGGTCATTCTAAATCTTTGAAGAAAAGTAAAATGTTGTTCTGTTTATGTAGTTTTTTTAGTATCAATACTTGCTCAAATGACTGTCTAGTTTTTCATACTAGTTTTAGTATCGATTAGTATCTGCTTTTCAGTATTTTAGACAGCCCTATTCACTTTGCCATTCAGTGATCATAATATTATGCTTGTTGTGTGTATATTTTGACTTCTCCCCTGCAACATTTATAAATGAAAGCTGACCGCAGACTGTTGACCATGCTTAACTATTCACTGACTCTGTGTGTGTTTGTGTGTATGTGTGGCAGGTCGGAGATGGGAGTTCAGAGGGTTCTCCAGGTGGATCTGAAAATGGAGAGTTTCCCGGAGCTGTTGGGCAGCCGCAGGATGGCCTGGCAGGTGGAGTACCCGTCCAGCCGCAGCAGCACACAGGAGGTGGAGACTGAGATCACACTGGCACAGGAGGAGCTGGCGGGCATCGTGCCTTTAGCCATGGTGAGTGACTTGGCAACGCATGCCCCTCTCAGGAATACAGCATCATGTAAAACACTAGATCGCTTCCAATTTACACCTTCTGAATCAACATTTGCATATGTTTTCATTCTGCTTTGCATTGGAAATCACTCACTGCACTGTTAATCATGCCTAGTGGCGGCCCGGAGTGGAGAATGAATGTTTAGCATTACAAAACAACTTGAAGATGACAAAGATGTCGACTGTGACATTATGTAAAGAAAAATGAGAAGCCGCTGTGTTGATAAATAGGCTGTTAGTCTAGCCTATAGTGGTGTGTTTGAGCTGGGCTGGATAAGAGCAGGTTACAGATGGAGTGTGGAGGTAGTCCTATAAGCCTGCGGGTGAGCCGCGGGCTGTGTGTCTCCCTCAACGACACAACTGCTACTCTGTTGTGTAGACTCACTAAAGCTACAAAAGCAAACCATTAAATCACATTTAACTGTTAGGGTTTACTGCCTCAGTTTATACTCTTCTTTTTCTTCGGTTTACAATTTAACTGTATGGAATATTTCAAAATAAGCTTTACACCTTTCTGACACTGATACAAGATTCTGGACCTCCTGCTGGGAACCACGGTGTTAAAAGGATTAAAACTAGAACATTACCAGACAGTTCAACTTAAAAGTACAACCAGACACAGGTCAGAAGAGAATTATGAAAATGTATATAAAATATGTGCACAAAATAAATAACAATCTATATCAATATGTTATTTTATTTAAATAACTTGTATACATTATCTACTAGTAGTTGTATTATTGCATGTTACACTGTAGAGCTATTCTCACTGGGAGCACTGCTCCTTCGTTGCTGCTCGTTCATGACCCAGTGAATGTCTCTTCTCATTTAGATCAAGAATTTCAGGGTAAAAAACTAGAAACAGACATTGTCTAAAGACAAAGAGGCTCTGCCACATCAATACTGATTACAAGATTGTTTCTATTTCTGTCATCTGTTTTGTGAAGCTCGTCTCTTGTGTCAGTTCTTCTCTCACAGTTGTGCCTGTAGCACTGGAGATGTAAGGTGCTCGTGGGTGGCTGCTCCTGCCTCACACCTACTAATCCATTCTGGCTCTAATTGAAGATATGTGTTTAAAGCCATTGTCTATTGTTCCACTTTCTACTTTGATCCTTTTATGTCACACCTAAAACAACTAGCCTGACTCGAGGAATTTAAAGCTCTCTCACTACAAATTATTTACAATTGCTTTCTTGTATGAGCGAAATACAGTATCAGTTTGAATATTGATGGCATAAGAGCAGTTTTTCCAAATATTGTTTCTAAGCCGCCTGTGTTTCATTCCCAGTTTTCAAATGTGATAAAAAAAAAAAAAAAAAAAAAAACTCAAATCACATGAGAAGTACTATTTTTCAGTTTAGTGAAAAATATAATAGGGTAAAAAGTACAGACACCTACTCTAAACATGTACGGAAGCTAAAAAGTAGAATCTACTGTAAAACTGACAGATACCTAAAATGTATATTTACTTTTATTTTGTACATCTGTCCCAGATAAACCAATTTTGCTATGGATTTTAAAACCCGTAGTTATCTGCACATATTGCTAATATACACATCACAATTTTCTTTGAATATACAATAACCTGTTTCTGTGGCCACATTATTATTTTTTTTTTAGAATTTGTACTCTCCGCTTCGACGTATCATCAATCAGCTCTGGAAGTGTCTGCTTCCCCTCTCACACGTAATTTGACTCATTTTCCACAGAAGAGGGATTTTTACAGCTTACCATGAATCAGGCAGCCTTTTTTATGGCAGCAAAAATCCATCTCAATTAACCGGATATTACAATTATTTGCTAAACTCTGCTAAATCAATTAGGGCTGGCATAATTTAGACAGAAGCCTCGCAGAAGAGAAAGATGAAGAGTTGAAGTGTCCAGATCCAGATGGCCTATTCTTTGTGTAGAAAAGGATGGATATTTTCTTTCTCACCTTGATTTTCTTTTGTGTTGAAAGAGCCTGTCTATTGAGTCAGGGGAGCAGCTGCTATTATGTCAGATACTGCACTGCCAAAGATCAGGTTCAACAAATGACCTAAACCTTTTGATAGTGATATTTCAACTGGTTTCAAAAGGCACTGATTTGGTGTATTTCTTTCATACTTCCTACAAAAGGTTTCCTGGTTTATATGTTAGTCATGCAGAATAATGTCTGTCTTATGTCCTGTCAAGTATTGTGGTTAGCATTTGGACATCTTCTGATGTCTGTACATCAAACCTCAGTCATACGGGCTCAGAAACTTCCCTATTGAGTTGGACCTCATCCACCACTCCACTGTGCATGCAGGCTTTCCTTTATGGCAACGTTACAATAGAGGAGATCTATGCAAGCTTTTTCAGGTGGTTTAAATACTTCCTTCATTTAGAGTCTAGTGTAATCTGCATTTTTGTCCTGCTTTGGGTAATTCCTTGTTTCAAAAAATATATATCGAAATTGAGAAGTCATAGTAGTATTACATCCCTAATTTAGACCTAGAATATGTCACGTTAAACACCTGGTTCGATCTAGTGGTGGTGGTTTTTAGTGTGAAAAGTCTGAGAATCACTACACAATCTGTGAAACGATGTGTTTGTGTGTGTGTGTTTTTAAAAATTGTGGTTTACATCAACAGTTTGCTCTAAATGATGCAGGACTGAAACACCTGAAGGTGACAAATGGCTGTGATCTGCCCCTCACTCAAATCTCTGACTTTCCCAATTTTCCTATTTTTAACACATAACATCTTCACCTGCTCCCACCCTGAACTATCTTTATTATTCACACCACTTGTCATTGTTCATTTTCACTGTATTTTCCTCTTGACTTCTAAGCCAGTACTTAAGGCACAAGATAAATACATATACATGCAATTTTCTTAACTCATTAACTTCAACTCTCTCTACTGGCTTCTTTTCCTTGCTGGTTTCCCTCACGCACACAGAAATTTGCAAACATTTTATTATTATTTTTTTTTATACAATCTGCATGCCCCAATATGAGAGAGGCACACAGGCGAGAAAGAGGCAGGCTGAATTAGATTACTCGGGATCACTGTGGCATGAAAAGCCCACAGATAAGTTCCTCTACCTCCCAGTGCAGCATGCGGCGTGCTGATGGAAAAAACAGTAAGGTAATGTAAAAATACTGTTGTCACACACAGCACACAAGCTAATCCCCAGCACCACCTCCAATGTCAACACTTTAACACCAAACAAACTGTGATTTCAGAAAAGCGGTTATAAGACTGGAGCTGCAGTGGAGTGTTCAAAGTTAGTTTAGAAGAGATAGAAATAGGGAAAGGAAAGGATGTCTCTACTTTGTGTAAAAGCAATTAAATTTAAGCCAAGGGAGGTACTTTTTCCCTGTCATATTTCACATAGGCATTTTTCACACATTTTGAATGATCTGAGATTTAAAAAAAAAAAAAAAGTATAATTTAAAAAATTTATTTATCACAACTCTTTAAACCAATAATCTAGTCCTTTTATACTAAACCACAAAGTTCAGATTTTCAATTCAAACTTCAGATGCAAATTCTATGGTGTTTAATGAACTAAACACTTCCCTTATAATTATTATTCTTTTACTCAATCTTTCTGATTTGGACTTAGTTTGACTCCCAACAATTTTACTTTGCATATTTAAATGCTGTCTTATAGTTTCTTCAACCACAGAATTTAAGGCTGTTTGCCAAATTTTAAACATATAATGCTACAGAAAAAAAATTACCTCCCAACCTGTACTTTTCTGTTCATATTTTTTTAAACTTCCAGTGTCTGTGTTGGTGCAGCACTTATTGAATTGAGTCCAGTGCTGTGGGTGTGTGCAGAGCTGTAGCAGATTGAGCAGGAGAGGGGGGTGCCACTGAGCTGCAGGAGAAAGGGCTGAACATCGGGGAAATTCTCCCATCTTCTTTAATCACATCATGAGGGCAGATCCAAGCGAGCTTGCTGAAGGCATCTGTTGACACAACGGCTCAGTGCTTTTGCTCCAGACAATCCTTTCATCTGTAATTAGCACTAATTAGTCTAATAAGTTCAACGCTGTTTCCCCTTAATGAAAAAGCCTGCACTGTGGTGTTGTCGTGACCAGAAATAATCTGATAAACAGAGAAAGGATCCATCGTTGACCATGTCTCCAGAGCTTGTAATGTAATAACACTAATGACTATTAGTAATAGGATGCTTATTTTGCTTTGATTATGTTTAGGTCCTATTACTGTGATGACTGCTCATTTCTGCCCTGTCCATTTACAGGATCTCTAAATTACGCAGGTCTTCTTGGAATTGATTATAATAAAAAGCCTCTTTTCTTGCATTTGCCAAGTGATGTGCAGTGCCATAGTGACACCTCAGGAGAGCTGTGTGGGGCTCAGAGCTCTGCTTTGAACAGGACTCCTCCTGTGTGTTGTCACAAACTCACCTGCCTCCTCTGGGCTCGCCGCTGAGATACTCATTTTGTCACCAATTACACTAGAAAGCTACACTTCTGCATATACAGCAATTATTTCAAATGTACACCTGAACTGGAATATTTGGAGGAAGAGGTGAGATATGATCATTTGAAGTGGTCACAGAAATCCCTCTATTCAACCCTTTCTCTTGAAAATATTATCTGTAGTTTTACAGGTAGAATATACAGATGCAAAGTTATTGCTTTTTTTCTCAGTTAATTTATAAAAATGAAATCCTGTGTTGAGAAGAGGTTTTGAAAAAAGGTGTTGAGAGAGAGGGCAAAGTTACATAGGCCAGGCCCCTCCCTTCTCCTTCTTCCCTTGCCTTTCTCACACTTGTATCCCACAAACATTTATGCATAATACATTAACACTGCAGACAAATGGCCTGTGCCTTCATAAGTGTGAGGGACCACTGTGTTTTTGGGTCACCTAAAGATGGATTCCAAAGCCAGTAAGTAATTGAAAGTTCGTGAGTGAATTCCGGTGCACAGTAGGAGGCTCTGGGTCCATTATCTTTTAGCA